GTAATCAGCATTCGAGGCTCTATCGATGTACCTAGGTCTCCATTCGAAGTTCCATGGGAAGTTCAAACCATTCCCTTGAGAACGTGCTGTGTGATGTCACGACCAGAACAGGATCTCCTCTACAAGAGTTGTACGAGTTCTCAGTCAAAGGAACAGTCCACGCTGACAGTATGGGCGGAGACAGCCAGCTGTTGTATCTTCATCTTTGATGCTTTCCTCCTAAAACTGGAGAAAGGAAGGCGCAGTGGTTGACGATCTTTACCCATACTGCCAGCTAAATCATGCCTTCAATCTCAATGTTTTTTTGTGAATGGAATCTTCAATAGTTTCGGGTGAAGCGCAAATACGAAATGAGTAGTACTTGGAGGAGTTTAGACAGTTTCCGACCAGTTTTTCCCCAAAGAGGGAACATCAAAAGGAGGGCATATAGTGCCTGTGCGACGATGAAACGGGAAATAATCAAGAAGGGTGAACAACCAAAAACATTTTCTCCAGATCAAATAGGGGCTCCCTTCCTCTGCCGACCAACAAGGACCTTCCTTAGGGAATCCCCAACTTACGACGTACCCTTAGCGCAATGAAGCAAACGAAGATTTGGACCCTACCTTGGCTAGGAAGTTCTGAGATCCTGTTCCGTCTTGGAAGAAATGAGTGTATGTGGCGGTATAGAGAAAGAGGAGGAGACTAACCGTATGCGTATTCGAACCTAGCCTGTACTGCTGAGCGACTTTTAGCGCTTGGTGCTCCACCAACAGCCAACGTGTTATTTCCACCTCCTTCCTTAGGTACTGCTCCTGAAAACCGCCTTTCAACTTGTCTTACAGCTTAGGAAGTGAATAGGTATTTTGTCCGCACTAATAAACAACCTGGGATGAATTTCGATTTAGACAAGTAAATCTCCTTGGCCGGCTTTTTCTCGCCCGATTTGTTCTTTACTACTTCTGTCTTCTCCGGCTTTGTTGCATTTTCATCGAGCCTGAAGAGAAATTGGTCGCTCAGCTATTATGAACTCCCACACTGAAGAATAGCGGAGGCTTCTTCGCTTCAGACCGCCCCCTTCTTCTGGAAAGTTGCGATGCTTTGAACTTACTTTTCGAACAGATTCGATTCTCTCGAATTGTATTCAGACATATTTTCCGGCTGTTCAAAGTGTACGTCCTCACCGAAGTTGATTCTCTCCAGTTATAGGCTGTAGTACCGTTTTCTGGGAACCTCGATAATTCCTCCAGCTCGCACCTGCAAGGTTTGAGATGTGGTCAGGGAGTTTATAAAATTCAAGCTCCGCACATTAAAGGTCCAACCCATTATATGAGAATATCTGCCCCACATGACAGCTTTCTGGAGTTGCACGCCGTCTAGCCAGTTTCTCTTGACTCGCTTCTTTGACATCGTTTCTTCTTCGTGCGCTTACCACTAAGGTCGCTGTCGACTGGCACTCATAACAGGGGCTACCTAGTTTCATGCGTTTCACTTTGAAAGAGTATTTGTACTATAAAATGGCACATGAAACGACGTATATAGGACATTTACTAAGGTTTAATTATATCTTGAAACTTCAGCTATGCGTTCATGACTATTGCTCATGATGACGAGTCGCTCGACGGCTCTGATTGACACGCTGTACCTGGCTTTGTAGCTCTGTGCCCTCCTAGGGTTCACGCTACATTCACGAAACCTGCGGCGTTATTCGCGAAGTCTGGACCTAGCCCTGAGAGCAATGGGTAGCCAACCTCCTTGAGGACTCACCTGTGCAGCATTGGGCCTTTTTTCCGGGTTCCACAGCATCATATCCATCATCAGTTTCATACCCATCCTTACCGGCTGTGTTCACAATCGTCTCCATTGGGGCGGGTGGTGCTTGTGGAAAACGGAAATTCATTGCCGTGGCTAATTGATATCCTTCCGGCCAATCCTCCTTCAAAGTTATTCAGTTTTAATGAGAACATTTCGCCATACTAAGTAAAAACAAGTTCTTGTTCTTCAGAAGATTTTACAGTCAAAAATGCCTGAACAGCTGCACCTATTGGCTCTTGAAGCCCTTTGAGATTAAGGCACGTCCCTTAGGGATCCCAAGCTAGGGCAGGGTCGTATCCGCAGGGCTGGAGGGAGGGGGTTTTAGTTGCTTCTGAGGAAAATATGCTCGGTTGTAACTTTTTCCATTTTCTTTTTTCAAAGTGATTTGCATGCCCTCTCCTCCTCATCTCCCGCCCGACGGTAGTTTTTGTGGAAAAAATAGAGGAAATTCTTGAAAAAATCTCCGAAAAGCTGGTAGAAAGTTGGAAAAACTGAGGAAGATGAGGATGAGGAGGGGGTTTGAATCAGAGGAAGAGTTCTTGCCTGGGGAGGGTGCCGTATTTTCAAAAATTCACCCCACTGGCAGGACATGGCTTACTTGGAAAGAACATTGATTGTGCGCGCTTGAAATCGATTCTGATTTGGGGTCCGTTAGTAAGGCGCTGTTACAATGAGAAACAGTCCCACGAGTAGCTTAGGATGAGCTCTATGGGCTCAATTTCAAGAGCATATTTCGCAGTTGCAAGGCTTTTATGATGAATTCAATGTGGCTTTGTAGATGCCAAGTGACTGCACAAGGAAGAAGCTAAAGAAAGGTGTAGAACAGCCCCCAGTAATACCCATCTTTCGAAGTTTATTTTGAGTAGAGAGCGAGCATGCAACGATGAGATACGCACGCGCTAAAGATAAAACAGCCGGCGAAATGGCAGCTGAATAGCCGGACAAACGAGCCCGCACCATCATGCAGCGTTTGCGAAATGGGTGTGAGCTTAGTCCACTGGGTGGAGATCTATCATGTTCACTAGCCCGTAGAGCCCTTGCCACGTGCTTTCATGTAAAGAAAGTGGTATAACTTATGTGGCTGCGGTCCCACGCACTGTACACCCGGAAAGGATCCCTTCTCTCTAGTAATCGTGGGAGGTGCGCTCCAAGGGATCTGATTTGATAGTCAGGTGTAATTCAGGGAGAGGGTGAACTAATCATTCTTCCGACTTTATGACGTTTATGACATATCTCCTTACTGGGTCCGTTCCCAAAATGGTGAGACGATTTTGAACGAGTTGTCAAGGCTCGGCATCTGTTCCTGGAAATAACGGTCGGAAGCATACAACCAAGGGCCCATATATCGATGGGTGAATTGTAGGAAGTGGATCGTAACAGGATTTCTGGAGCACGATACCTAAACAGCAGGCTAAATTCGGAAATATGAAAAACGAAAATGGTTGAAGATTGAGACAATTATTTGATGCAGCTCTTGAATAAGTTAAGGTTGCTGGGAGCTTTATGTAACCCTTATTGCGGTATACTTTGCTTTTTGTTGTGCCTTAATCCTTTGGTGCAGTCCCAAATCGCGACTGTATGTGCACTCATTAACCATGGGAAGGGCATGACCGAATTGAGGACCTGACTGCCTCTTTAGACGAGTTTTCCGGACATGTTCTTTTTATTCCAGCAAAGGGGTATCCTGCCGCTTTTGACTGCTTATCCTTTCTTCCCGTCATCCAGTGCTTACACCATCTAACAAGAAAAGAAAACTGTCAAAATTGAACTCGTGACAGAAAAGAGCGTCGCAGTTTCGGTGGGCGGGGCAACTACGAAGGCGTCAGAACAGCCTTTATAAGGGCCAAAGTGCCTTCATTACTTACAGTGAAGCGCGAAAGTGGAATAATCTTAGAGAATGAGGGCCAGACTACTGTGTAAGGAAAGACGCCTACGAGTTGCCTGAGCGCGGAGACTGTCTTTTTTCCACCTATGTCTATTTCTTCTCTATTTATTCTTCTAATTTGAAAAAGGCCCGCTACTGCAGCAGGATAGTGATGCCGCCGTCTCCATACTCCGCCTGCGCAATCTTCAAGCTGCTGCGCTTGCGTATTTATCACCGTAGGAGAACGACTATAAGTGAGACGGCGCTCACAAGTAGCGCGATTGGCTGTGGCCAGGCGCCTAGCTGGCCGTGCGGCAGCGCTAGGCGGAGTATGGAGTTGGCACCACTGTATCACTACCCTCCAACCCTATCCCCTTTCTTTTTCTGAGCCGAGAAAGTGGTAAGCTACTACAGCTGCGAGCCTCATTGTCCCCATCCACGGCAAAGACTAGGATAAATTGAGGTGGGTGTACACTTTGTATTCGCACCGCGGTTGAGAGCGATGGGGGGAGCGAAATGCTAAGTCCTCATTGGCGCACAAAAGCTTAATTCGCAGCGCCATTTTGCGACAATGGAGGGATTATGCTTAGCTATTTTGCAATGTTATGACTCAGCTATGAAGCATCTGAATTCTGCCAAAATGCATAGGACCTTCTGTCAAACATGCCAAGAGAATCCTGGGGGCGCTGCAAAATGATCCTTTTGAACGGATTCTCTTACTTGGGGCGCGCACGGTAATTCTCGAGTCTTTATCGCAATAGGAAGCGGTTCTCGCTATGCATTTTTATTTAAATCAAGTTTACAAAAATATAGGTTCTATAGAAGAAGTCGCTTTCAGGGACGAAATTATTTGTTATTCTTTTTAAAGTAACAGCGATACTTTCCGGCATCGCATAAAGCCGTGTATCGCAAATTTCCAAGGTCTCTTAGGCTCGCTTTCGTACTTTGCGGCCGCGTCCACTAGCGTCTGCCTGCGTCTGCCAACGTCTTGAGGGTTAGGGAAGCATAGGCATCTATCTAGCGTCCACCAGCGTTCATTACCGACCGGGAGCAGAGAGTATGGGGAAGTAGGAGGGTAGCAAACAGGTAGATTGTGGCGCTGAGCTGGTGAATTTCGGCGTGTGCAACCGCACCGTAGAAACTACATACATCGTATATTAAATTGCGGTGCACACGCCGCAATTTCACGACGATGCCTAATCGCCTGTTGCTGGAGCTGTTTGCTACTCCCTACTTCCCCATACTCTCTACTCCCGATTGCTGGTGAATGCTGGTAGACGCTGGCAGATGCTAAATTCATATCATACTCCCTATTAGCTGATGCTGCCGCACGCTCGGAACGCTAGTGGACGCTGGTAGACGCTGGTGAACCCTGCCGCAAAGTATGAACGTAGCCTCACATCGAGGCAAAGATCCGGAAGCTTGGTAGCTTACGAAAATGATTCTTCTGTCTCTGAGGGTTACCTGTTTGCATTGCGTGTCCAGGCGTCCTGACACTGGAAATACCGTACTGTAGAGCTACGTAAGTACCGTTGCTTGCAATCAATTTAGTCGCGCTAGTTCTCGTCATACGATCAGATTGATGTGAACCTTTGATTCAATGGTGTTTGTACACTACGGAGAGGGCGATAAAAAAGATTAGGGGCGATAGGGAAGATTGCCCCCTCCCGTTGCCTTTTAGACGACATTGATCTGAGAAAAAAAAATGAAAAATCAGTTGTTTGCATTCCACTTCATCAGTGGATCTTTGGGATGGGTTTTGTTACCTTTTTCGGTGCAAAACTTCGACTGATATTCAGCTAATGGATGAGTATAGAATTACTTTTGAATTGTAATGTAAAAAATCGTTACGTGAAAGTATTTCCTAAATGTAGTTGCATAGTAGACATGCATTTATTAGGAGAAGAGAAAAAAAAGAAGAGAAAAAGAAGAATGGCTCACCATCTCGTCGAAACGTAGTCGGTATATGGTGGTTTGGACCGGACTTCCCTCGCCAGTCCAAAATCGGCGATTTTAACTAGCTCTGTTCCGTTGCACATAATATTTTCCGGTTTCATATCTCGATGAAAATACCCTGTAATGAACGGGTTATAGTCGGGAGACGGTAAAGAGGATCGTAATTTGCCGCACCGCCACGCGGCGATGGGCGCGGCGTTTTCATAACTCGTTTTAACCTGTCGAATGGAGCACCGGACTTCATGTAGACCCCGTCATCGTAGACAGTCATTACTGTTTTCGGTCCTTAATTGCATGTTGTCGCCATCTACTACCTGGAACCATCGTCCTTTGCAGACGAGACGTCGCACGCGACGCCCAGCAGCGCGGCGAATTACGATCCTCTTGTCACATACCCGTTATAGTCAGGGCACGTCCTGCCGGTGTGGGAAAGTGCCTGGAAAATGGGCTCCCCCTTAGTTTTGTCCTCCGCTACCCCCTTCCCCCTCCCCTCCCCGCTCCCATTCTAACTACTAACTTACTTCTCTTGCCAACTTTTCCAAACCTCTCCAGATTCTCCAGAAATTTTCCAGTTGTCCAGTTTTTTCTCAAACTTTAGCCGTCGAGCGGGGGGGGGGAAGATATAGGGCACGGTGAAATTGGGAAAACCGTTAAAAACGGCGTCAACGAACGACCCTTTTTCCCGACGACAAGCAAATATACACCTGGAATTCTCCCTACGATGCGAATAGCGCCAACGCAATAGGAAAATCAACTATCCAACAATCCATGCAAATTTTCCGAGTTCAAACACGGCCCATCCCTCCGGCGACCAAACACGACCCCCCTCCTCCGCTGGGGATTCCCCAACATAGGACGTTCCAGGCGCAGATCCAGGCGCAGGGGCGATGGGGGCATTATGCACTTTTGATAGTTGCTATCAATGTGTTGACCCATCTAGACGGCCTCTTCTCGAGTTAACAGGTTTGCCATGATGGCTTGTCGAGCTCGCTCCAGCTCCACAAGAGTTCAGAGGTTTCACCAGGGGAGCCTTATAAATCGGCACTGGTGAAACAACGGAAGTGCAAGATGCCCCCTCCCGTCGCCCCTCCGTCGCCGAACTGTGCCGATGTTCGCTGATTATCGTGTACTTCTGCAGTTTTTAAAACACTCTTAGATTTATTCCGTTAGGCAGATTGAGAAAGCGCACGTCGTACGATGACAGTCCCCAGCAAAATGAGGTGAGGGGAGTCGTAATTGGTCGATGGGAGGCAGGCTAACGGCCGTATTCTTGCCGAGCTGCTTTTTCCGCGGCTCCTTTCTATCTTCGAAGCAGGAGTGAGCCAGTTGCGAAGGCACGTTGGCCCACTGCTTCTTTCCTTGTTAAGCTATATTGGGAGGTGGTTAAAAAGTATTTTCTTAATAGCTACTTTTCTGTGGGTCAAGACAGACGGTGAAAAGCTAATGTGGGAGTTGACAAGTCAAGGAGTTCAATAATTCCAAGGTAGGTTATAAATACATACCGTTTCTATGCATAAATGCGAGTCCCTGTAGTATTTGGTAGATTATGTTGCGTATGACGCTTTCAGGGAAATATCGGTCCCTGAATTGCGTTCCATGAGTGAATAAGGGTTGTCATGGAGTGTGAGGGTGATTGGAAAACATACGTGAGAACTAACCTGTCCTTCATTAACTCATATAGGTTTTCTTGCATAAATTCAAACACAAAATAAAGAATGTCGTTCTCCCGTATTACCATAAAAAAGTAAAAGAGTTATTTTAACAGGTACTTCGACTTATCACTTATATGGGAATTATGATACTCAAGTCCCTGAGAATTATTATACTCAAGTCCCATACTATTTGTTATTTTTATTCTTTAGGAAACCTACATTCCAATATTATTGATACTGTCTTATTTGTATTTTGACATAAGGCGTTAATAACGTTAGGGGGGGCTTTAAAGGATTCCTTTTGTGAAACTATGCAAAATGCAACCACCGAAACGAGAAAAAGCTTCTAAAGAGTTCGAACTGTTCTTCATACGAGTCTTACTAGTAGCAAAAAATGCTGCCTTTGGTTGGGAGGGGCCATCTTGCACTATTCACCATCCTTTTGTTAGCTAATCTTGGTTATAGGTACCAGTGTGAATTCTTGCGAATCTACGAAATGGAACACGTGAACCATTTTGCTCACAAGAATTGACAGGTCGCCGCAAGGTGACCTGTACAGGCTTTGCTGAGAACCATTTGGTGCCCACACCAAGTCGAACTACATCCAAAAATGGTTTTTCACTTTCATAGTGTGTATGAATGATTCTGTCGTTATGGCCTTGGTTTTAATAGCACAATCCATGCCTGTTGTATGGGCGGAACCAGACCTGCCATCGGGCCCTCCTTATTTGCTCCCCATCGGCCCTTTTTTCGAAGGGTGAAGAGAAGTAGTATGCCAACGAGGAAGGCACAGCGGTCTGACTCCGCCCACACCGTGTCTTCAAATGAGCACAGTTCAAGAAGAAAAACAATCCTGTAGTTCATAGTGAATCCCTACCTCCCGTAATTTAATGATGTTTGGATGAGGAAGCTTCTTCAATGCCTTAACTTCTCTCAGAGCTGTCGCTTCTTCCCACGTTTTGAATTTTTTCTTCATCCTGAAATAGAATAGCATGAAAATCGGTAATTTTCCCTACATCAGACTGCATTATTTCTTTGAACTGGTTGGTGCATGACGTTTGTAGTCGTTGAGTATTGCCACAAAATCGTTATTGCACTGGCAACGGTGAAGTGTGTACATAGATTTGCCCGAAGCTACCATTAATGCCACAAGGCTATACTTTGGGATTCGTTCGACTTGTTTCTGTTGCTGGACTCTGTGGCACAAAAAACGGAGCCTTCCAGAGAGTTGCAGGAACAAATGTGCTATTACTATCCGGGAAAGTGTACTAGTCAGGGTCATCGTTCTAGAATACTCAATAGATGAGGTAGCATACGTCATCGTTGTGCGAAACGCATCAGGGAGTTGTAAACTCGAAGATGGAGGGGGGGGGGGCTTGTCTGCTCATTAAATTGGACTCGAGGGTGGCTGCGTTTTCGGTGAGATGTTGCCTTTTTATGAAGATTTTGTCTATGTCTCTGTTCAGCGCAAGACAGGATGACACTTGAAATGTCCCACAAATCCGCCGCTATGCTGAAACGGAGGACCCGGTCACGCCTTCCGAATCTCTGGGATGTGGAGTGTAACTGACCTGGAGAGGAGTTTTTAGGAGCGGGAGCGCTGGCTCTTCCCATTTCACGCGTTCTATATACCCTATAGGTTGACGGTGCGGTAATGCGACTGCTTCTGGTGGCTAAGTGGAGGCCTGTCCGACCCCCATGTCCACTCAAAATTTTGACAAAGGTTGGTAAAATGGTAGCTAGGTGTGGAAGTGGAGTGCACCGAGACCCACCTTTTTTTGGGAGGGGGGGGGTAGGTCGGGCCATCTCATCCACCGCGTTGCTCCACCCTGGGGCGACGTACTTAACTGCCATGTTCGGTCAACGGAGAGGGAATGGGGGAGATTTTGGACTTTCTTACGTCTCTGTATACCCTCATCCTCCCCCATACTCGGCTGCAGTGAGCGATTTTTTGGAGCCTCCAAGGCGATGGGAGACTAGTGAGGGAGCTGAAACATCAGGTCGAAATTGTGTCATTTTTAGAGTTAGCCGTGGAGAGAAAGTGATCCTGAAGGGCATATTCTTCGTGTGGTTGCTGCCGATTCATGAGAGGCCTTTTCTTGAAAAAAAATCAAAGATGTTCTTTGAAAGATGGGGTGGTGCTAATATCATGGGGGAGGGAGAAGTGGGAGAGTGCAGGTGTGCAAAAGTTGGACAACCTTCATTCAAATAGAAGTCCTGTACCTTAGACTGGTACATCAACCTCGGAGCTCCTCCCATGTAGGTTCAGAGGAAAGTCCTCATTACAAGAATCCCTGTTTCACACAGCACAAAGAGTTCACTGAGTCCGCCCGAGTTATCTAGCATGCGAATGGGGGTTTCAGACTTCGCTTAAGGGTATTCAGAGACCTGCTTTCGTACAAAAATCAAAGTTTAACTTTCTAAGCTAGTCTGAATCCCAAGTTACTTGATTTCCATCTGTTCACTTACCTCTTTATGGCTACTTTGTCGCCAGTATCGATTTTCTTTGCCAGTAGAACTTCACCAAAGGTACCATCACCCAACAGTTTTGTCATATGATATCGGTCTGCTAACGTTGTCATCTTCTAAAACTAATTAATTACACCCGATTCCTGAAACTGTCTCTATCATGACATCGCGCGCAATGAGACTAAGTGCTTCAGCTAATTACTGAAATTACTGCAAAGGTAAATGAGAATCAATACATGGAGGAGGTTTGCACCCTTCCATCATAGCTGGGTGACGCTTGTGTTCATAGCCTTACCGTAAATCTCAGTTTCTGGAACGAATTAAGTGCCAAAAACCTCTCAAATAAGCGTTCAAGCGCCGGCGCTACCACTGGTATCGACGTGAAAACGGAAGTAAATCGGTTTTTTGAGACGAAATGGGCACTTTCCGAGTTCCCTAAAAGCTTCAAAAGTACACGTGCGCTCTGGAACACGTGCTGAGACTAGCAGTAATTGAAACGTAGTTGTGGTATCTTGAAGAAAATTAGTAGAGGCTGGGATTTAAGTGTTTTTAATAAGTTTTCTCCTTTTTAGTAAGGTTGATGGTTTTTCTTATTTTTAGCAGTCACTTATGATACTTAATCTTTTTCCGGTGACGCCCCGCCTCGTATAGAACTGGAAAATCAACGGGACTTTGTAAGGCCAAACTCCCCCCCTCACTCTCCTTGAAATAACCAGTTCACCAAGAAAGCCCACTATTCACTAAAGGCAATCTAAGAAGCATTTTAGGTACTAAATCTGTCCTAATGGGATTTATAGTAGGGAGCGGTAACGAGGAATGGAGCGCGCAGCACACTTATGGGCTCGTCGAAGGAGCCGAGGGTCTTATATTGTTCGCCACTTCAAGGCGGTTATGTTTGGTTTTGTTAGGAAACTTCTGATTGATGATTTTTTTCACTGGCATTCCAGCTGCGCTTTTAATTATTCTCGGCACCCCCTAGATCCGAGGCCCCGCAATTGTTCTGTTCATGATAGTTGGTCGCATGTCTACACTCTTTCAATGGGTGCTCGGATAGGAGGGAATTTTCCCACGCAATACTTAACCCTGGCGTTGTCAAGAGCAACTTCTCTTTCGGAATGGATCATTTTTTGCAGAATATGAAAACACCTTTGCCTCTCAAGGATGTACGATTCGCAGTATTCCCCGTAGGCCAGCAGTTCAGCACTCACGATGCTTCCTAGAGCAAAATGAGCACTTGAGCGCACGAAATGGAGTCCTCCCGCGGCAAGCATGATTGTGGCAGAATTCGTCGTCATGTAAAAAAATCGCATACTTCAGTGCAAAACTTGAAACAATGTTGTACTCAGTTTATTGAATTTTTAACCTCTGGCTCGTATTTTCCCTCACCCGGTCGAAAGGAGGCGGTCAGGGGGGGGGAGGAGAGAGGGGGATGGGGGCTAGACGGAAGCATGTACTAACGGCCGAGAGCAGGGGAGGGGGGATGGGGGCTAGATGGAAGCATGTACTAACGGCCGAGAGCAAACGAAAAAATTGAATCCGGATTTTTAAGAAGTCGACCATTTCTCATTCACTGATGCGATCCTCTCGCTGGACACGACAGACAGACGGAGTCATCCGACGATTCCCCCCCGCCTCCTCTTTCCCCTCTCCGCTAGCATTTGAGTATGAATGAATGATCCACCAAGGTACCGCGGGCACAGGCACGCTATCGCCCCTGTGATGTCAAGACAGTTAAATAAAATGGTGGAAAGGATTTAGATCGCAGTAAAGTAATTGTGCTGAATAGGAAAGGGCTAGCAGAATGAGCAAGCAAAAAACTCTTGGGAAGATAGGCACAATCGAGAAAGCTGCGTTGTGCAAAGAGAGGGGGAGGGGGGCATGTCAAGACAAAACTGCGAGGGAGTTCCTTGAAAGAAATGCAGGGAAGCAAATTTTCTAATTACTATCAGGCCTCTGCAATGCTAACATTTATCAAGAGCGGGAAGCACAGAAAGAAAAGTAGCATGAGGTGTAGAAAGGAATGGAAAGGAAAGGAAGGAAGGTTTTACTCATTTGTTCGTTTGGCCCCTGAAGATCAGCTAGAAGGGGCAAAGGCAGGCAAAAGGCTGAAGAAGTATGGTAAGTGTTGCGAATTGTCAGAAGGATGGCAATCAGATCAGTTTGGGCATAACGCGAACATAAAAAACTAGAGTAAGAAGGTAAAATACGCAAAATGGAATGCCAGACATCTAATAAGTAAGCGAGTCTGAGCTTTTGGGCTTGCACGAGAAAAAAATAAGCGAATTTGTTCAAAAGCGCGGTTTACGGCTCTTCCAGTATATGTTGGAGGAATGAGTAGGAAATTCCTTTAACTAGGCACGATAAATCAAATAAGAAAAGTTAACGGATCGTGAAAGCGCGAATATGGTATGTGATGACGGGGGCAGCGGAATCCGAGAGAAATAGAGGGAAAGCTGTTCGGCGTTGCCAAGGTGATAGACTGAGAGCCATAGAAGAACTGGGCGCCTAGAAATGAACATCCCCCAGTTGATACAATATTAAATAGAAATCTGAATACACATTATTAGATTTTTTCGAGGGGGTATTGATTGAATGAGGTCATGTTGACGTGCAAAATTGGGAACGTTACAGAAAGACAGGCGTTATGAGGACGGTTCAGCTCATGTTTGAGTATTTCCAGGAAAAAGGGCAAGCTTTGACATTATTCTTTTCTGCAGGCTTGATATGTCTATTTTTGTCCATTTGCCACCAGGTTGACAATTCGTACGGCTAATCTTTGAATCTTTTCGCCGTTTCCAAACTCCCTGTTTCACCTGCAGTGTGCAGCGCAGCGCTAGGCTCAGTGGCGCAGCTTGACTCGGTAGAGGGGGGAGATGATAGTCAACGGAGCTTTCACAGGTCACCACATGAAGATCTGTAAAATCTCGTAACTAAAGTTCATTTGGGAACTTGACAAGAGTTCACAGGTCTCACCAAAATAAGATCTCTTAGTTAACATGAACGCAAAAGGAATTAGCGAGAGTGCAGAAGGCCCCACCCAACCGAATAGAGCCGGCTCACTAAGTACATTAGTACGCCGTACAAGTTGGGATCTTCTCATTTTCGTAGCCTCATCGCCAGGGGACAGTCAGCCGATCTATTGATCCTGTGTAATGGATCCAAATTTCCTTGGAAGCGATCTCTTCCTACAATCAAGATGTCCTTTTGGGCTTCCTCGTGGAGGTGAAGATGAGTATTCCTTCGGCCGCTTGAAAGTGGAATCCTATTTGGTTTGGTGAGATGAGTCTGCTTTTATGGAAACGGGTGTAGGAGTTTCTGGACCCAACAAAATCCCCGCGCTCGATATTCAGGCTAGCGTTGGAAAATGGCGCATTAGTCCTTTGAGCAACTTTTCAAAATACGATCCCTACCACAATGGAGAGGGAGGGGGGAGGGGAGGAGCAGACATTCACCCAGTAGCCAGATATAGTAAAATTGCGACGTTACTGATCAGGGGTGCTGATGTGACGATGATGTGCCCTGCCCGGAGTTGGAGAGTAATAGAAGCAGCCTGCATGATGGTTGCGCGAAACCCATTGAGGGAGGGAGGGGGTGGTGGGGGAGACCATTCTTTGGTTCCCTTTTTGGAGGTCGTGTTGTCACAATCCTTCCGCCTATTCCGAGGCTGTACCCCCATAGCAGAGTTGGTGGTGCAGTGCTTGAGGGAGTGGATCGTGTATGAAGTTCCCCTCTTACCTGTGACGTGCCATAACTGGAACTCCCTCTGAACTTTTGCTAAACTTTCTGCTATTGAAGAAGCATACTTGAGAGAGAGGAGAGAGTCTGTTCGGTCCCAACTTGAAATCCATCGGGTTTAATGAACTTGCACCTGACGGTGGTCATTGAATGGAAGGATTAGAGAGGGAGCGTTGGCTGATGAGTAGTCATTTCACTCAGATTATTCAACGTATCTCTCCGTAGTGGGTGAAACGCCATGGTGTTGTGGATCCGGGAACGTGAATTCACTGAAAGCATTCAGAAAACGTGAAAGTGACTCAAAGATTACTAATCTGATGGAGAGATTCAAGGAAAGGCTAGCAGGGGAAGATAGCAGATGCTGACGGCCATTGAGCGTTCTCGTATTGTGTGCTCGTGACATCGGCGTCGTTTTTTTCAGCTGCTACCTAGAAACGGCTCTGAACGTTCTCTCGTATTTTAGGCTTCTTCCATCTTCGGCCCAGGTGTGTCCTCTCTAATGGCAACGAATGACGTGGTGGTTGTGACGGGATTTGGACCTTTTGGCACGTTCACAGAAAACCCGAGCTCATTAATTGTTGACGAATTGGCAGAGAAGAAAATCCCAGGTTAGCATTCACAGTTTGCTCAGAGAATCATTCAAAGAAGACTACTCAAAGCGAGGCACTTCGTACTTTGGAGATCTCTAGCGAAGGGGGGGGGGAGGAGGGTCATATTTGAACTTCGACTTCTCTCGATTTTTCCTGTTCCTTGGGGGCTATTTCCCGCTCCACCTCCTCCCCTCTCTCCCCTCACTCGAAGGCGGTTTTTTTTTCTTGGGGAAAGGGGAGGAGAAGTGGAGGTTTCGAGGAAAAAACACCCAAGAACTGGTAAGAAGCAGGAAGATGGCAGATATCATTGGACGAGGCATGGGAAAGGGAAAGGGAGGAGATCTTGAAAGGTCAGTGATGTTCTATCTTTTGCCAGAAATTCCCCCGCGGCGATGCTCTGCCCAAATTTAAAATAAAAGTCTCTTATGCGGGAATCCCATTTCGAAGCCACGCCCCTACTTGAAACCCACTCCTCTTTGATGCGTTGTTACGTAGAGGACTCGCGAAATTATTATGCAGTATGACATTGCAGCAATCAAAATAAATTGGTTATAGCGAAGGTGGCCGGCTTATCGTTGAGTGGATGAGTGACATTTCCGTAAGCGATTACAAAGCGGCTGTCAACTCGCTTAAAGGTTTGGGTATTCTCCACACAAAGCTGACCCTCCATAGGCGTAATGAGTCAGTGCTTATGCTCAGTTTGGAAAAGCCCTAACTTCCGAATGTCGTAAGAGTCGGGCTTAGCTTATAAGCCCCGCCTTTTTTTCCAGGTCACTATTAATCGATGG